AGCTGTGAAGCCACAGCACTCTACCCAGGGGGATAGCTTGAGGCTCTGTCTCAAAAAAAAAAAAAGTTTATGACATGCACACCTAAAGAACCAGTAATATTTTTTCTGGGTTGTGTATTAATTTATATAAACAAGGACAGTATACTAAAAATCAGAATTATGTCAAGAGTTGTGGTCAGCTTATCCAAAGGATACTCTAAATATTTTATGGTCAGAGAATGAACTCTACCTCAACACGAATAAAGAAAGCATGGCAGCTTTTTCCAGGCTTATGCTATGGTGAGAAATAGTCGATACATCAGCAGAGTAGAGAAGAAACATAAGCACATATCAAAAAACATGACAATTGCAGTCTCCCAAAATAAACTAATCACAGACCCTTGTGCAGTTCATAAGCCCAATGACTGAGTGTTCGCATGTGTGAGATGTGCCTCCCCTCAAACCTTGTTACGACGTCCACATGTTACCCGTCTAACGTGAAAAAGGGAAAAAAAAAAAATAACAGATAAAGAAGCCACTTGAGAAAAAATTATTAAGCAAAGATACACTACAAGAAAATATACATGAGAGACCTAAACCATGCCAGGTTTTAGATTAAAAATAAAATCTGAAAATAACCATGCTTCAGACACACACCATCCCTTATTACTAGATACTGTCCTAATAATTGACCACACAATTGATTGAATTAAATCCAGAAGTAGTCCAAGGGTTAACTCCACTGCATGACTTTGATTTTCACCTCCTAGATTTTTTGGCAGAACAGCTGATAAGAATTAAAACTAACCAGCCCATAGTTCTGTCTTCATTCCCTTTCTCCCATGAAGAAAAGTGCTCATAAACTGGTAATTGCCCAAAACACAGGTAACAAAGGGGAAGTACTCATCTGACTGGCAAAAGTGTTTGGGGTTATCAGTCCTTAAACAATGAGTTGAAGGCCATCTGCAAACCTCTGTCTAAAGGGGTTATGCTCCATGCTTCATGTATTATAACACCACCACCCTGAATCTTGTGCTTCTGACTCACAACTTAACATGCTCTCTCTCCACTTCTTTCCTACTCAGAAAAGTTTATTGTAATAAGTTGAAAAAGAATGCTTCACTTTGTGATTCTTAGTCTGGGGTAGGTCTTTAAAACTACAGGCAGTTGGCTCAGCACCTGTGGCTCAAGTGGCTAAGGCACCAGCCACATACACCTAAGGTGGCAGGTTCAAATCCAGCCCAGGCCCACCAAAAAACAATGATGGCTGCAACCAAAAAAAATAGCCAGGCGTTGTGG